GAGGCTGCCACTCGAGAACCTTTCTTCCCCATCGGTTATCGGTTCTTCGAGCTATATGGCCGGCCCATTGCCACTTCAGCTTACTAATCCGTTGGGCTATGTCGGTCACTCTCGTTTTACTGCGGATATCATCATTTCTAAATCTATCACGCAGTGAAACTCCGAGCATAGCCCTCTCCATAGCTCGCTGAGCGACCTTGAGCGTCCTCATACGGCCAGCGGTGAAGGACCACGTCTCAGATCCGTAAGTCATCACTGGCAACACACACTGGTTATACACTTTAGTTTTCAGAGATCGAGGTATATATACCTGACGAGATGTGTCGTAATTTCCCGAACGCTGCCCAGCCGAGTTGAATCCGTCGATTGACCTCTCGGTCGAAGTTGGACTTACCTAGTCGAACTATTTGTCCCAGGTAAACGTACTCGTCAACAACTTCGAGCATAGTGCTCCCAACAACTACCGGCGTAGGTGTGACATGGACATTAAACATGATCTTCGTTTTGTCCATGTTCATCTTAAGACCTATCCGTTGGGAGACACCATTGAGGTCATTGAGCATAGTGCTAAGGTCCTCCAGCGATTCTGCCATAAGAACTATATCGTCGGCAAATCGAAGGTGAGTGATGTACTCGCCATTGATGTTAATACCGTATCCTTTCCAGTCCAGTAGCTTGAAAACGTCTTCCAACGCAGCGGTGAAGAGTTTCGGGGATATAACATCACCCTGTCTTACACCTCTCTGCAGTTGGATAGGTTTCGTACTCTGGTTCTGTACTCGGATAGCCATCGTAGCCCTACTGTACAAACACTTCAGCACTTCAATATACCGACAGTCAACTAGGCACCGCTGAAGTGACTGTAGCACCGCCCAAATTTCGACGGAATCAAAGGCTTTCTCGTAGTCCACATACGCCAGGCAAAGTGGCAGATTGTACTCTTCGGACTTCAGTACAATTTGCCGAAGGGTATGTATGTGGTCTATGGTACTGAAGCCTTTTCGGAAATCGGCTTGTTCGGGAGGCTGGAAGTCGTCGAGTCTGCGTGCGAGACGATTCGTATTGACTCTCGAAAACAGCACGTAGACGCGGCTCAGAAGGGAAATCGGTCTGTACTTCTTCAAGAGAGCGTTGTCGTCTTTCTTAAAGAACAAGACCACCGCGCTTCTGCTCCACGCTTCCGGAGTAGTGCCACCATGAAGGACGGAATTGAAGAGCTTCTGAAGGACTTCAAGTACCGGTGTTCCACCCGCTTTCAGAAGCTCCGCTGTAATTCCATCCTCGCCCGGGGCCTTGCCGTTTTTAAGGTGGTGGAGAGCCATTCTAATCTCGCTCAGACTAACGTCCGGGATATCATCGGAATAGTGTCGGATAAGACTTGCTTATGGATCGTTACTCACACTTGCGTGTGGCTCCAACAATGATGTGTACAGCTGCCCATAGAACCTCTCAATCTCACTCAGAATCTCAGGTGTCCCGGAAACGATGTTGCCACACTCAGTATCCAGCCTTGACAGTTGGCTCTTTCTAGCAGACAGAGCTCTGGCAAAGACTTTGGAGCCCTGGTTCCGCTCGATCGCTTTTTTAATACGAGCAGTATTAAAGTTGCGTAAGTCTCGCCGCATGCATTTGGAGATCTGTCTGTTCAGTTGCCTGTATGCTGTCAAATCTGTTGACGATTGCAGCCTCATCTGCCGTCTAACAGCCATGAGATTAAGCGTGTGATCGGAGTGTTTTTGTGTTCTTCTGCGGCGGGTCTTGCAGAACTTAGCTCCGACCGCATGGACAGTTTCCACGAGCTTGTCATTCATATCGTCCACTGCATTGCAATCCTCTTGGCACTGAAAGCGGTTTAGTAACTCGAGCTGAAAGGTTTCGGGATTCTGGATTAGAGCACGAGGGGGACGGAGCGTTGACTTCATTAGACGAGACCTCTCCAACTTAACATTTAGGTTCAGTGTGCCTCTAACCATTCGGTGATCGCTGCCAGTTTTCACCCTTGCGATCACTGAGACATCACTGAACAGTTGGTGTCTGGTCGTCATAATGAAGTCAATCTCATTTTTTGTCGAACCGTCGGGGCTCGACCAGGTCCACTTCCTGTGGGGCCGCTTCCGGAAGAAAGAGTTCATCATAAAGAGTCCCTCTTTCTCCATAAAGTCGGCCAGCTGCTGGCCCCTTTGGTTCCGTTGCCCTACTCCGAATTTCCCCACCTTCAGCTCACCGCTTTCTCTTGTGTCTAGTTTTGCGTTGAAGTCTCCCATCAACACCGTGTAGTGGGTTTTGGAGGAATGCATGGCTCTAGAAATATCCTCATACATTTCCTCCACCTCCTCATCGGGATGTGCCGAGGTTGGTGCGTAAACCTGCATGACCTTCAGCGAATACCGTTTGGTGATTCTGAGTATCAGGTACGCGACCCTCCTCGACACACTCCCAATCTTTACAACGTTGTTGACGAGAGACTTGTGGACGATAAATCTGACACCTCCTTGGGGCAGATGGTCGCCCTCCCGGTGGTAGAACAAGTTGCCGGACTCGAGGATTGTCGTATCCTCCCCCTCTCTTCGGACCTCGGATAATCCAATAATATTCCAGCGCAACTTGTCTACCTCTTCTTCCAGCTCCAGTATCTTCTCGTCAGTCCTCAGAGTGCGTGCGTTATACGTTGTCAGGTCGAGTCGTCGTAGGTGGCAACCGAACCTCCACCGGTGATTCTTAGCACCCCCTGCCCCGTCGTTACCATGGTCGTCACCGTAGCCAGGAATAGCGGGGCCGCCGGGGACTGGGGGCCGTTTTTTTGCGTTGTTATTCGTGGGGGGATATTTGCCATAGTTGCCACGCTTGGCGAGCGGGTTGGCAACCACAGTTTTTCATTATAACACAGTTGTTATCAGAAAGATGCTGCTGCCCATCTCCTGCCTGTCTCCCTCTGTCGCCTCTTACGACACCCACGGGAAGATATGTGGTAGTGGATACTCTCAACCGCCACTACACGGCATCAATATATATTATATATACCTCTATACTACTCCTTTCATATTGTTATTTTTATTAAGTATTTTCTCGATTTCTAAATAACAATAAAAACACTATTTGTTACTTAGAAATCGGCATAAATACTCTCGATTAATTGTTGGACTTAGGCAAAAAGAAAGATTTTCAGTATTGTTAACATATTTATTTCACAATTTTAAACAAGATAATATTTTGAAAATAAAATAACACTAAAACGTGAGATGTTATAAAATACCATGTTGTCTGCACAAAATGTAGAAAGTACTTACTACAAACCATTATAACAATTACGGGGTTGAAATTAACATATTATTTTATAAGTCTTATTATATTTGTCACTGCACCAATTACAAAATTTACTTTAAAACACATTTTTGAGCCTACGTTTTGTGCTATACACAAGCAATTACGATAAAACACTCAAAAATACGAAATAAGCACATGCACAATCCAGCGGACATATTTCTTAAATTTTTTCTGGGTGGAAAAGATACGGTATTAACATCAATGGCGAGTACATCACTCACTTTCGATTTGCAGACGATATAGTCCTTATGGCAAAATGGCTGGAGGACCTAAGCACTATGCTCAATGACCTCAATAGCTATGCCAAATGACCCCAATGGATAAGGTCTTAAGATGAACATGGACAAAACGAAGATCACGTGTAACGTCCATGTCACACCTATCCGCGACCGAGAGGTCAATTGACGGATTCAGCGTTTGGAAAACTACGACGCATCTTCTCGTCAGGTATACCTCAAAACCTGCAAACTAAGTTGTACAACCAGTGCATGTTGCCAGTGATGACCTACGGAACCGAGACGTGGTCCTTTACTGCTGGCCGTATGAGGACGCTCAAAGTCGCTCAGCGAGCTTTGGAGAGGGCTATGCTCGGAGTTTCTCTGCGTGATAGACTTAGAAATGAGGATATCCGCAGTAGAACCAGAGTGACCGACATAGCCCAACGTATTAGTAAGCTGAAGTCGCAATGGGCCGGCCATATAGCTCGAAGAACCGACAACCGTTGGGGAAAAAAGGTTCTCGGGTGGCAGCCTCGTACCGGTACTAGATGGAGTGACGACCTGGTAAGACATGCAGGAAGTCGATGGATGCAGGTGGCTCAGGACCGTGCTTTGTGGCAAACATTGGGGGAGGCCTATGTTCAGCAGTGGACTTGTGAAAGGCTGTAATGATGATGATGATGCTGATTACATTTTTTGTTTCAGATAAAAAAATTCAACGGCGATGGCGCACCGCTTGTTATATATACAAAAAAAGAGAAAATGGCCGGAAATCAATCATCGGTTTCAGGAGCAATAACGAAGAAAACATTTTAAAATTTTTACTTTTTGGACAGAGCGATAGATACTGTGACAGATGACTCACTACTTGAAGATGATGATGTGCTAATCCTACCACAGCACTTTCGTCACTGTCTACTCCTCTCACACCGCTGCCGTCTACGTCGGCTTCGACCAACCAGCAATTAATCCTAGCATCAGCACCACCCACACAAAAGGGGAAATAGGAAATATCTGATTTTGAAAATAATTTACTAGAATATTGAAAAGAAATTAGCTATAATTAAAAGATGAAGGTTTAGCCTTTTTTAAATCATTGCCTTTTTGCCCACCTACTCTGAAGATATTTAAAAATAACCAGAAAATGATGACAGAAATGATTCATACTAGAGTAATGCGAGTAATCATGGAGATGTATATGCAAAATATAAATTATTCAATGTCAGGAAGCAATTATGTAACGATACCATTAAGTACCTAGGGTACTTACTACCATACAATATCGGCAGTGGTATTTCCAATACTGGCGTGTGTGAGAGCGGCATGACTATTCCTTCTTACAATAATACAAGCTCCGTGTCTGGTCCCATTTATGATGCGGCTATACCCGAAAGCAACACAAATACATCCATCAATACTCCTGCTACCGAATGTTAAACACCTACGTCTGCTCATAATATGGCTGGATCTCATAGTCCGTACGATATTGAAAGAAGTATTCCTATGACCACTGGTGCGTTTGAAAGCTGTATGACTATTCCTGCTTACAATACTGCAACATACGTGTCTGGTCTATTCTATTCTAAGACGCTGGCTATTCTCGACATCAACACACCTGCAGTCACCGATACTGCTAATAACAAAAAATTGTTCCCGGAGATAATACGGCTGGATCTGAGACGCACTAAGTTACTTGCGAATTTTTTATTATAAAACACCCTTAAATTCTAACATGTTTTGAGTGTAGCAACGATTAACGTTTCATTACATGCTTTAAATATATAATTCTAATCATATCTTTTAATTCACATTTAAATGTTTTGAAAAAATTTGAATATTAACAGCTAGTTGTATCAATAGTACTTAAATTTGCGATGGATATTTTGGAGATTTTGATAATTTACTTTAAACATTCCAAAAAATGATCTAGTTTCAAGATATGGATCTACTCTAAATTGTTTTTTATATTTTTTATTTTTAAAAAGATACTCTTCTAAGTGATAATTACTTTTAACTTCATTTTTATACACGAGTTTAGTCACTGGCGACACGCAAAACACTGCAGCGGCAAACGATATCTTTGTCTCTTGTTTGGCCAGGAGCGTATTAACATTCGCATGCGGCCAGATCCACGGATGAAAATACGCGTTACAGGAAAATGCCCTAATTGTCACAACTTCGTAATTATTTGTTTATTTTCTAGTTACTGGAATTATGGCCTCTTTTCACTTTTACGCAATCATCAAACTATTCATATGCTCTTATTTTAAACATTATTAGTTTTAACGTCTATTTTCGAAAAATGATTTTAAAATGTTAATTTAATCTGTTTGTGGATTAAATACAAATAATTTGAAATAAGAAATCGTGTGATATGGAACAGTGATCACGCTCTACCCAAAAATTGATTCCAAGCCTAGTAACGACTACATTTAAATACTCAGTCACGTTCAGGTTTATTCTTGGGCAAAAGTTACTATGACCCGAGAATAGTAAATAGTCTCCCAGTGTTACCTAATTCTTGTAAATTGCCAGTATTTGCACTATATTTATGTTAAATATGTTTGGAATCAATCATATGGAGAAGAATATATTTTATACCACATTACGCAATACTCTTCACGATAAGAATATATTTTATACCACATTACGCAATACTCTTGTGTTATATATAAAAAACTAAATTTCATGAAGACGAAAGTTTTGCCTTTTAATTTTTGTGCTTTTAAAAAGACCAAGTAATTTTAATAAAATTTAAGATTTTCAAATCTAAATAAAAACTGGTGTACTAAATGTATTCTTTTTGTTATAATCTATGTACCAAAAAAAACTTATTTCTTTCTGTCTTTGAAAGGACACGGTCCATAATTATACGAAGTGCGTCGACTTGTTTTGTACTAGCAGGAAACAAGTTAACATAAAATATTAAATCACTTTCGATAATTCAAATCATTGAAGTACATATTGTACTTACGTACCAGAACAGCTATCTCAAACAAAAAATGTGCGCTACTCTATGTTCACGCGGTTGGTTTTTTTATCATAGAATAAACATAGGTAGAATGATCCGTAGGTAATAGTAGATTGTATTTATTTATTTATTTAATATTCTTTCTTGCACACCATATATAAAAAAAATTACTAATTATATATACAAAAGAAGTATGCAATGGCCGGTCTTATTGCTGATAGCAATTTCTTCCAGACAACCAGTATTATATATTGTATACCAGATTGTACTGTTAAATAGGTAAATTATATAGAGAACAATATTTAAATTTTGGCATTTATTTTGTATATTATATTTGCTTATTTAATATAATGTTATATCACAATTACATTTAACGATATTTTATCTGAATATTTTAAAAGGTATCTATGTCAAATATAAAAAACATACTAAATGTAACTTATTAACATAACTTTTTAATTTAAATATATTTATTTAAATTAGAATAAGAGTCGTTCATAAATACTGGGCACGCGAGAGTTAAAAATGGACGAATTTATTCCACTTTGACTTTGAAGTGGAAACATAAAAATAAAATAAAAGAATAATAAGCAGATTTAAACATGACAAATTTAGCCAAATTTTAATAACTTATATATGTTTCTACAAAAAAATGTGTATAATAATATATTCGTCCTATACTCTTAAGTACCCACAGAAATGTCGAATCTGAAGATATTAATTTCATAATCTATATTCCATCGAGTCGAGTCTCTCAACGACGTCGACTCGACTCGACGACTTCCAGCCTCCCGAACAAGCCGATTTCCGAAAAGGCTTCAGTACCATAGACCACATACATACCCTTCGGCAAATTGTACAGAAGTCCGAAGAGTACAATCTACCACTTTGCCTGGCATATGTGGACTATAAGAAAGCCTTTGATTCCGTCGAAATTTGGGCGGTGCTACAGTCCCTTCAGCGGTGCCAAGTTGACTGTCGGTATATCGAGGTGCTGAAGTGTTTGTACAGTAGGGCTACGATGGCTATCCGAGTACAGAACCAGAGTTCGAAACCTATCCAACTGCAGAGAGGTGTAAGACAGGGTGATGTTTTATCCCCGAAACTCTTCACCGCTGCGTTGGAAGACGTTTTCAAGCTACTGGACTGGAAAGGATACGGTATTAACATCAATGGCGAGTACATCACTCACCTTCGATTTGCCGACGATATAGTCCTTATGGCAGAATCGCTGGAGGACCTTAGCACTATGCTCAATGACCTCAATGGTATCTCCCAACGCATAGGTCTTAAGATGAACATGGACAAAACAAAGATCACGTTTAATGTCCATGTCACACCTATGCCGGTAGTTGTTGGAAGCACTATGCTTGAAGTTGTTGACGAGTACGTTTACCTTGGACAAATAGTGCGACTAGGTAAATCCAACTTCGACCGAGAGGTCAATCGACGGATTCAACTCGGCTGGGCAGCGTTCGGGAAATTACGAGACATCTTCTCGTCAAGTATACCTCAATCTCTGAAAACTAAAGTGCGTGTTGCCAGTGATGACTTACGGATCTGAGACGTGGTCCTTCACTGCTGGCCGTATGAGGACGCTCAAGGTCGCTCAGTGAGCTATGGAGAGGGCTATGCTCGGAGTTTCTCTGCGTGATAGGCTCAGAAATGAGGATATCCGCAGTAAAACCAGAGTGACCGACATAGCCCAACGGATTAGTAAGCTAAAGTGGCAATGGGCCGGCCATATAGCTCGAAGAACCGATAACCGATGGGGAAGAAAGGTTCTCGAGTGGCAGCCTCGTACTAGTAGGCGTAGTGTAGGGCGACCCCCCACTAGATGGAGTGACGACCTGGTAAGACATGCAGGAAGTCGATGGATGCAGGTGGCTCAAGACCGTGCTTTGTGGCGTTACTTGGGGGAGGCCTATGTTCAGCAGTGGACTTGTGAAGGGCTGTAATGATGATGATGATGATGATGATGATATTCCATGGCACGAGATGGCGTCTTAGGAATAATTTGTTTTATTATTAATTTATAATACTTTTGTATTGATTAAGTACCTAACTTATTAACCAATGAAAAGTAATTCCTTGGTTTTTACTGAAATTTCTTGAATTATTTGTGCAATATCTAAGTACATACGACGGATAATTTTTATCAAGAGATTTTTTTTAAATCAATACAACACGTGACAACTTTACAAACGCCTAGCGAGTGACTGATAAAAGTGCGGTGTATGGAACGCATTTGAGTGGAACAGAGTAGCTGAATGCGGTGTCGCCTCTAGTACGTAGTATATAATAGCTCAATGATTCAAATTCAAGAATTTGATTTTGTTTAAGTGGTATTAATATTTTATTCCCACCATAAAATGAAACATTAATGGCGGATAGATGTCGTTTTGACGTTAGCTGCCAACTGGCATGAGGTTATTCCCACCAAAAATGAAACACTAATGGCGGATAGATGTCTTTTCTTAGCTGCCAACTGGCATATATTATCCATTTATGAATTCTGAAATACTGTGTTATCTTCATCTCTAAACAAAAACCAAATCGCCAAAGAAATCCACCTAAACCAAAGAATATATACACTAAGCGAACTTAAAATAAACGCATTCACGAGTTCATAACTACATGACCAAGCTCGCAATAAATAAACATATCAAGCTACCTACATTTTTTCATGACAAGTTACTTGTCAGAACAATGACAAATAACCGCGTCTTTTTCATGATTTTAAAGACGCCATCTTGTAAAACCATCAAATACTTGAGATTGCATTTATATTTTCAGCAAGTTAGTTTGATTTATTCTCTTATTTTATTTTTATGAAATTCACGAATTTGTGTCGTTTTTATTGTAAGTACATAGACTTGGCCTGAAGTGGATCGCCTCCTTTATTAAAATAATATACATATAAAATTACAGGCTAGTGTAACTATGTTAGTTATAAGTGGCAGCTGAATAGATATTCAGAAGATTTGCTCATAATCACGTTGGATAGATGAGTTTCTGAGCACAATGCTTTTATTATCGCATTGGTAATGAATCTCAACAACACTTTGTGGAATTTAGTTTTTGTAATTTTATAGGATTTTCTTTAAAGGCGAGTGCTCCAGTAAGTATAAAGGGTGTTAGTGATGCCGAACAAGTTGCCAACTTATTCAGGGGTCATTTTAGGGTGCATTCTACGTTGGAACCTATGAAGACCGCAACAAAGGTAAGAGATACTTGTTTGGCGAAAACGGTTGCTAGAATCACTGCGAAACAGGTTGCCTAGGCAGTAATGGACATGCAGCGAGTAAAATTCCCTGGTCATGACGCTCTTAGCATAGAACACTTGCAGAATGCAGGTGTCCATATGTCAAGGGTGCTCACCACGTTGTTTATTTTCTGCATGGGCCATTTTTACTTACCTAAAGCTATGATGAAAACGGTAGTAGTTCCTATAACAAAGAAAAAAATGGTAGACGCGTCTAAAATAGGGAATTGCGGGCCTATTTACACTCGCAATAGTCATTGCTGAGATTCTGGACGGTCTCATTGACACTCAGTTAAAACAACCTCTTCAGTTCTATAACGCGCAGTTCCTACTTCGACCCGGTTGATCAACCGAAATGGCTATATTGAATCTCAAGCATTTCGTACAGTATGACACTGGCAGAAGTACACCTGTCTATGCCAGTTTCTTAGATCTATCTAAAGCATTTGATTTAATTGCATATGACAGGTTGTGGCA